GTATTCCTCTTGCTCTCTGTGCTCCAAACATACAACCAAAGCCATTCCAGCATATTTAATTACTCCTTCTCTGTTCTCATAGCACTTTCCTCATAGTTTTACTGCAGTACTTATTATAATAATTTACATTTAGTTGTTTATATGTCGTGCTCTCATTGTTTTGTGAGTTCTTCCAGAGCAGTAAATGAATTTTGTTCATCTCCATATTCCTAGTCACTAACACATGACCTGGCATATAGTAAGACTCGATAAAAGTTTGGTTTAGGGAAAAGGAGTGAGAGAATAAGCAAACATATAAAAATCAAATTCTAGATAAAATGTTATGATAACACACTAGGAGGGAGTAATTCATTCCAGGGAGGTGGCTTCACAGACAACGTAACATTTGAGATGACCCTTGAAAAATGAGTAGTATTTGACAGGTGTAGATGGGTGTTGGGGGAGTGGAGGGAAATGAAAAGGCAGACCTCCTTTAGAATTTAAGAACTGAATTTATCATAGCAAAATAATGCTGTTAATTACACATGGTCTTTATCTAAACCAACTGGTTCATGTAAACAAGCCTAGCAGGAACTCTACTTGCTAACATTTTAACAGGCATTTTGAATTAATATATATTTTGAAAATAGTAATACTGTGCTGTCCTTTAAAAGAAACTGATAATTTAGATAATTCTCTCCCCTCCCCAAAAATTAGTCCAGAATTTGGCTAGGTTGATACAGTGTAACTTCTCATTTTTTGATCTCAGAATTCTTCATTAAGAATAATTCCTGATTCTCTTATGTTTCCCAGGACTGCAGAGCCAACAAGTAGCCAAACTGTTGCAAGAAATTATTTTTGGCATGGGGACCCAGTCCTTCTAAACCTAGATGTTTCCTCTTGAAGTCATTCTGCAGCCATGAGAGAAAATCAGGGTACAGATTCAGTAATCTCAACAGGTCCCTTCCAGCTATAACATTCCCTAAAACTTGTCTCACCTGGACTGGAGATTGGGAGTTCAGATGAACCAAATAATCAATATGCAAACTCTTGACCCGAAGGATATTTGATGCCCCATGTTTGTTTCCTTAGTAACATTTACAAGGAGGCTATTTCTAGCCATAAAATGCCTTCATGGGAGAGCACCAAAAACTGGGTGTAAGGGCTAGAGTTTCTACCCATGGAGAAACCACCAGTTCTGAAATGTGACTTCTGACTATAGTAACAATTGCTTAAGGCCATTAGTCACTCTGTGTGTTGGGGGGGTGGTTTTTGGATAAGATACATAGGCAGCATAGAAGAATGATAAAAACTAATATTTCAGGAATAAGGTTTTTGGACATTTGCGTTTTCTTATTCTGACCATTTAGTGTCCAAAATAGCACTTTTATAAATAACCAGGCCAAGAATTATCCCTGATGTTCCCAGGTTAGAAGGATGTGATAGATGTTAACAAATAGCAAGCTACAATTAGAACAGAGTTGCCTTCAGGTAATTGGCAAGAGTGTACATGAGAGGTAGGAGAAAAGCCATGGAAAGATTTTTCTATGGAAATCAGTAATCAGAGGGAAATTTCCCAAAATAAGTCTTTCTGTGCTCCAATGACTTATGATTATGTATCTCCCAACTATGCAGTATATACATGCACATGCACATACAACCCACTTCATTGTCTGCTTATGTCATCACTGCTTCTGGAATGTCTTTTCCCCTCTTTCTTCTTTATCTAATAACTACCGATCACTCAAGACATGTTCTGTAGAAATCTGGCCCATTTGTTCAAATCCTATCTTCTCCATTACTTAAGCCACAGTAGCTTTTCATTCCTTTTTTTTTTAAGATTTTATTTATTTATTTGACAGAGAGACACACAGCGAGAGAGGGAACACAAACAGCAGGAGTGGGAGAGGGAGAAGCAGGCTCCTCACAGAGCAGAGAGCCCAATGCGGGGCTCAATCCCAGGACCCTGGGATCATGACCTGAGCCGAAGGCAGAGGCTTAACAACTGAGCCACCCAGGCACCCATCATTCCTTAAACTTCAGTAACATTTCTGGTCAATTCCATTTAATTCTTTGATTGTTTCTTAATTGTTTCACTATAGATAATAAAGCATAGTGGCTAACAGTATATAACCTGGATGTCCTCAGACAATATATGTGATCTTTAAGTCTCTCATCTATTAGGGGTGCCTGGGTGGCTCAGTGAGTTAAACATCCAACTCTTGGTTTCAGTTCAGGTCATAATCTCATGGGTCATGGGATCCAGCCCCAAGTCAGGCTCCCGCTCAGTGGGGAGTCTGCTAAAAGATTCTCTCCCTCTGCCCCTCCCCCACTCTCACGTGCGCACACTCTCTCTCTAAAATAAACAAATCTTTAAAAATAAATAAAGTAAAAGCCTCTAATCTATTAAATGGAGATATAAATAGTCCCTCTCATTAGGTTGTTTTGAAAGTTAAATGAGAATAATGCATGCCAAGTGCTTTACCTAGCATATAGTGAGTGTTCAATAATTAGTGGTAGTAATGGATGGAGGCGGTGAGAGTAGTGATAATAGTAGTAATCAGTACCACCATCACTGGTCTCTTAAATTAGATTGTATAACCTTTGAAGGCAGGGACTATGTATTCTATCTGCTTAGTCTCTGGTGTCTCCCTAATTCCCAAAATATTCAATTGGCTAATTTGATATCTGTTGATTGTGTGTCTATTTCTATTCAATGTTACTGCCTCAAAGATATGAAATTACATCAAAAATATAATTTTTCATTTCTTATTGCTACTATGAAAGCCCTTGGATGATTTTTCTTGGTTTGCGTGCATGGATAGTTTGGATGGAAGCTGCTGAAGTATTTGTATGCAGCTAGACTATGAGAAGAATAGGAAACATCCCAAGCACCTATGGTATATACAGTTGGGAAAAAAACCCAGAAAACTATAAAACTCTGATGAATGAAATCAAAGAACTAAATAAATGGAGAGATATTTCACGTCCATGGATAGGAAGACACAATATTGCCAAGATGTCAGTTCTCAACTTGATTTAATGCAATCCCCATCAAAATCCAAACAAGTTATTCTGTGGATATCAACAAACCGGTGTTAAAATTTACATGGAGAGGCAAAAGGCTCAGAATACCCAACACAATATTGAAGAAGAACAAAGTTGGAAGGCTGATGCTACCCAACTTCAAGATTTACTATAAAGCTACAGCAATCAAGCCAGTGTGGTACTGGTAAAATAATAGACAAATAGATGGGTAGAGTAGAATAGAGAACCCAGAAATAGACTACACAAATAGAGTCAACTGATCTTTGGCGGAGGAGTAAATGCAATACAATGGAGCAAAGACGGTCTCTTCAACAAATGTGCCAGAACAACTGGAAATCCACATGTAAAAAAAAAAAAAATCTAGACACAGATTTTATACACATCACAAAAATTAACTCAAAATGGATCATAGACCTAAATGTGAAATGCAAAACTATAAAACTCCTAGAAGATAACATAAGAGAAAACCTAAAGGACCTTGGATATGGCAATGACTTTAAATACAACACCAAAGGCATGATCCGTGACAGAAATTATTGATAAGCTGGAGTTCATTAAAATTAAAATCTTCTATTCTGCAAAAGACAATGTAAAGAGAATGAGAATACAAGCCACAGACTGGGAGAAAATATTTGCAAAATACACATCTGATAAAGGACTTTTATCTAAAATATACAAAGAACTCTTAAAACACAATAAGAAAACAACCCAATTTAAAAACGGGTCAAAAAACTTTAATAGATACCTCATTAAAGAAGATATACAGATGGTAAATAAGCATATGGAAAGATGCTCCACATTATGTATCATCAGGAAAATGCCAAGTAAAACAACAAATACCACTAGACACCTATTAGAGTGGCCGGAATCCAGAATACTGACAACACTAAATACTGGTGATGGTATGGAGCAACAGGAAATCTCATTTATTGCTGGTGGGAATGCAAAATGGTACAGCCACTTTAGAAGACAGGTTGACAGTTTCTTATAAAACTAAACATGTTCTTACTCTACAGTCCACTGATTGTGCTGTTTGGCATTTGCCCAAAGGAGGTGAAAACTTATGTCCACGCAAAAACGTGCACATGGATGTTTATAGTAGTTTTATTCATAATTGTCAAAACTTGGAAACAACTGCAATGTCCCGCAGTAGGTAAATGGATAAATAAACTGTGGTGCATCCATATGATGGAATATTATTCAGGACTAAAAGGAAATGAGCTATCAAGCCATGAAAAGACATGGAGGAACATTAAATGCATACTACTGAGAGAAGCCAGTCTGAAAAGGCCACATGTTGTATGATTCCAACTATATGACATTATAGAAAAGGTGAAACTATGGAGATGGTATAAGATCAGTTATGGGCAGGGGTGGGGGGCAGGGAGGGATGAATAAACAAGCACAGAGGATTTTTAGGGCAGTGAAAATATTCTGAATGATGTATACATGTTATTATATATTTGTCCAAACCCATAGAACCTACAACACCAAGAGTGAACCCTAATGTAACCTCTGGCTTTTGAGTGATTATGATGCATCAGTGTAGATCCATCAGTTGTAGCAAATGTGCCGCTCTGGTGCAGAATGTTGATAATGGGGGGCTGTGCATGTGTGGAGGCAGGGGGCACATGTGAAATCTCTGTACCTTCTTAATTTTGCTGTGAACCTAAAATTGCTCTAAAAAAAATAAAGTCTTCATTAAAAAAAAAAAAAAAACGAGGGAAGGAAGGAACAGAGGGAGCAGAGAAAGAAACACACTAAAATGCCATCTGGTAAACTGCTTTCAAATTCTATGACTTCCTGCCAATTCAAGCCGTATTGTTTTAACCATTGTAAAGAGCTGGAATTCAGGCCCTATCTACCATTTGTCCATCAGTCCATTTCTGTAAAGAGTTTGCCAGTTTATGTTAAGCAAACTATATACTGAAACCTTAATACAACAAATTATTTTGCTTGTCATTTCTCTTTAGCTGATAATAGTAGAACTCTGAATGTGGATTCCACTGCAATGACGCTACCTATGTCTGATCCAACTGCATGGGCCACAGCAATGAATAATCTTGGAATGGCACCACTGGGAATCGCTGGACAACCAATTTTACCTGGTATGCTATTTTTAATCACGTCACAAGTGTTTCTTTTTATTGACCATGTGGTAATAAATATAACAGTATGATACAACTTATTTTGAAGTTGACATTTACCAGATTCTGCCTAGAGTGTGCATTTTTGTAATATGAGCTTTATAGGCTGGGTGGCCAGTAGTTACTAGTATACTCCCTATTGCGCTATGGGCAAGGTAGGGATATATCTGATGCAAGATATGGTCATTAAATATTTAAATAGCTCATTGAAATAAAAGACAACAGGATTTGGAAAGGAATTACAAAGTTTATCTAATTTTATAGATTTAGAAGGGACAGATAAACATGGAGCAGAAATGAGAATGGACTTAGACACCTCAAAAATCATGGATTTCTAAAGTGGGGGAAAGGAGATGGTGGGAACCATCCCAAAGTTGTTCACATTGAATAATCGTATTTTTTTAAACATATTTTTTTTAAACATAGTAACCATTAAGAGAATGGACATGGTGTACTGATTCCATCTCCACTAAGGATAAAATCAGAAGAAAAATGCCACAGCATCTGAAGCATTTGGTTTAAACACAAAAGAAGTCTTCTGTGCTGTCAGAACTATTATTAACCATTAAAATGGATTTGTGAAGACATTAGGGAATTGCCGTCTCAGTGCTTTTAAAATATCCTAAACGTTAATCTCCCCACGTTCATTTAATTGTGGTCCTACTTAAAAGAATGACAGAACCAAGCTGATCAAGTACCGTGCTACTCAAAGTATAATCTGCATAACCTGGGAGTTGTTAAGAAGCCCAGAATCTGGGCGCCTGGGTGGCTCAGTCAGTTAAGTGTCTGCCTTCGGCTCAGGTCGTGATCTCAGGGTCCTGGGATCGAGTCCCACGTCGGGCTCCCTGCTCAGCAGGGAGCCTACTTCACCCTCTGCTGCTCCCCCTGCTTGTGGTCTCTCTCTCACTCCCTCTCTCTCTCAAATAAATGAACAAAGGCTTTAAAAAAAAGAAGAAGAAGCAGCCCAGAATCTTAGGCCCCAGCCCAGAGCTACTGAATCAGAAGCTGCATTTTAACATGATCCCCAGGTCATTCACAAACACAGTAAAGTTGAGAAATAGATCTAGAGTGATGCCACTTTGTTGTGCCATTTGTTTATATAGTTAGTAACCCCACTCCCCAAAAAATAATTTCATAATTCCAGTTCAGATTTTGAATCCTTATAAGTTATAATGGGGACATGGTAGGGTAGGAAATGATGCTTAATAATCTTAATAATAAATTAAGAAATTTGGTTACATAGAAACTAGGAAACAAGCATAGAAGTAGCCAAATGTAAAGAAAAAAAATATGTGAATTCGAAATGGGTGGAGGGCGAAGGAGCTTGGATTCTATATATGGCAGAGGCAAAGAACTGTCCCACCAAACTATAATTCATGCTCTGGACTATCGTTGACTAGACTGCATCCTACTCCATTAGACCAACCATGATTGAAATGAGCAACCAGGGATCCTTTGAGGGCCGAATGATTGGACCATAGATCTCCTTGGGTTTCAAATGACTAGTGGGGCCAATCTGGAATCGGCAGGTGCTATGACAGGAGCCAGTATTGCATAATAGTTAAGTGCTCAGACCCTAGAGTCAATCAGCCTGACTTCCAAGCCTGTTTCTTTCACTACTTTATCTTGAGTAGTTAAATATCTTCTAGGAGACTCAATTTCTTCATTCATAAAATCAGACTAATAATACGTAACCCTTAGGGGTTTTGTGACAATTGTGCTTAGAACAATGCCTGGCACGTTGTTAGTGCTCAAACATGTTGGCTATTAAAATACTTTAAAATCATTGTTAATATATTTCTTACAGATATTTCTAAAGGGTATAATAGGTCTTTAAATTTAGTTCTTCTTCATTATTTCACTGTAATACAATTTAAACTAAAACATTATATATTATTTTATAGCTCCATATGGAGTGGTCCTGAGTCACAATCTCTTATAGTCTAGAGAGATTAGACAGCCTGATTTGCCTTCCATTATTACCAGTTTATAGAAATCTGAACTGTGTGGGTATATGTCCTGGGAAAAATGTTGAGGCCAGATCTGCTCTGATGCCAAGGGAACTCTATGTTAGTTATATCAGATAATTTGTAAATTACATCTAAACATAAATCTGTGCTCACACAGTTATCTTTCATGCTTAGCCACCCATCTATAATGTGAAGGAAGAAAGGCTTAGCATTGAGAGTAAAAAAAATCATCCAAACCATCATTATAGGCCCAAAGCCTATGCTGGGGACAATAACAGGCCTAAAAAACTGGGTAGGTTTTCTTAACAATAACTCAGAGGGCTATTCCTACAGAGAGGGTATCTTGCTTAGTATTTAACAGCATAGGCCTCAAAGACAGACTGCTTGGGTTTGGATCCTTGCTGTGCCACTTCCTAGCTATATGACCTCTCACCAGTTACTTGACCTGTCTGTACCTCAGTTCCCTCATCTGTAAAATGGGAACAACTATAGTATCTATTTCATAGGATTGCTGTGAAGATTAAATATGTTTATCCCAATGTTTGGCATATAATAAGCACTCCATAAAGGTTAACCATCATCATTATTATTACTATTAGTAGTACTATATGCTCTTTAAGATAAAGGAAATACTAACATACGTCCTTCAAATGGCTGCTAAGCTGCCACTTAAATTGAAAGCATTTGGGTGCTATGCAGCCATTGTCAGCTCTAATGAGTATTCCTCACATCCACCTCCAACCAGACATTTGAAAAGTCAAGAGTAATTTTAATCTCTACTTCTAGCCCTCTTTATCTATATCCTATTTTCTTAAGCACTACGAAGAAATAGGTTCCCAGGGTCCCCTTCAACTTTGTGATTCAGTGATCTTTGGCTATGCTCTACAGAAAGTTATTTGACTTTTTGGAAACCAGATCTTAGAAATGCAGATATATTTTTAAGATTTATATATCTATTTATTTGAGAGAGAGACAGAGCGCATGAGAGGGGGGAGGGGCAGAGGGAGGAGGAGAGAAGCAGACTTCCCGCTGAGCACAGAGCCCCACACCAGGCTCTATCCCACTACCCTGCGATCATGACCTAAGCTGAAATCAGGAGTTGGATGCTTAACTGACTGAGCCACCCAGATATACTGATATTTAGTTTAGTAGTGCCCTTCTTGTCTTAAACAAGGCAGAGGATCATGGGGGGAAAAAGGAAAAAATGAAATGGGACGAAACCAGAGAGGGAGACAAACCATCAGAAACTCTTAATCTCAGGAAACAAACTGAGGGTTGCTGGAGTGGAGGGGCTTGGGGGGGATGGAGTGGCTGGGTGATGGACATTGGGGAGGGTATGTGCTATGGTGAGTTCTGTGAAGTGTGTAAGACTGATGAATCACAGACCTGTACCCCTGAAACAAATAATACATTATATGTTAATAAAAAAAAGACCTGGAACACAGTAGGTGCATAATAAATATTAAAAAAAATACATAGGACAATAGTATTGGGCTGAGACATACTTTGTGAAGCTATCTGTAAAATCATTTGAGTTTTGGGTGAACTAATTTTTTCTCCTCTCTGTATTATTTTAAGAAGTCAGTTTAACCATGAGGTTAGAACATGGGTTCTGGATCTGGATTGCCTAGGTTCAAATAAATCTGTGTTCTACCATTAAGTAGCTGTGTAAACATTAGCAAGTTACCTAACCTCTCTAGGCCTCAGTTTCTTCATCTGTAAAACAAAGATATAATAACACCTATGTCATAGGGTTGTGAAGATTAATGAGTTAATACATTAAAGTCCTAGAATGATGCCTGGTTCACAGTAATCTCTCAGTGAACTTAGCTATTATTATTGTCTGAAGTTCACATCTGATATATGGCTCACAAAAAATTGAATTATGGCTCATTTGTATTCTTAGCAACGGTGAAGGGTAACGAATGCAGAAATGAAATCTTCCCCAGGAGAGGTGCTGGACAATGGTGCCACTGACTGCTCCCTATAAATCTGAGGGGGTGTCCACAGAAATGGAAGGTTGGCACCACACTCCAATGCTGCGTATGCTTCTTCTTGCCTAGGTTTTGGGAAAGGGTGCCTGTTATCTTTATTATGTAATGTTTTAACCGAACGGGCCAAAACATCCACCAATCCTCTCTCGGCCCCTTGAGATTCCTTAAAATGGAAATGGCAGCCAGTGAGCCACATGGAACTGTTCCCTGAGGTCACCCACTGATGGCTCAGTAATTCAACTATTTTTCTGCCCCTTAGGTTTCCTACTGAGACAGCAGACCTTTTTTTGTGTGCTGTCTCATCTGGCCTGTGACAATAGAAAAGGCTTTTGGCATTGATGAAAAACAAATGATACATAAGCTTCCTTGACTTGCCCTAGGGAGCTCAAATCCATACTGTCATGGAAGCTGAGTCTCTTGGACACATACTTGTCATCAGGGCAGTGTCTGGCTTATTATGTTCATTGAGTGGGGAACAGAAACAGGCCATCTCTGGGTTTTGGTTTGGAGCTCCTTTTCATCTAACATGGTGTTTTGTACAGCTGCTATTCAATAAAGTTAATCCACAATGATGGCAGATTAGGAGATCCCCTCTGGCTGGCAGTTGTCTTTCCTGCAAGAGTATTTGCTTTTCCAAGCTGGTCAAATAAGACTAATGTTAGTTTTCACATGAAGAGAGGGACCAAAAAGAGTCAGACTTTCTGTTTAAGGAGCATCGTTCAGCCCGTCATTGCAGATGAATCCAAGGATGGACCGATTAAGGAGTACTCATTGTATACTGTGTGCTGCTTCCTTTATTTTCCCCTCAATTAAAATATCCTTAGCATTCAAATGTGGAGCCTGTGAAGTCCCAAAGGAGAAGTGTCTCTCATTATGGTGTCTCCACTTTATTGACTATGTCACCTCCATAATAGGAGATGTTGGAAAGTATGGATTTATGGACCTTATTCCCAGAGCAAGACACTGCCCATCCACGGGCATTGTCATTTTTAAGAAG